TATATATGTGGATCTGTGCCCTATTTTGTATGTAGTTTATGCCTTTCTTCATCTTCTTTTTTTTTCTTGAAAACTAAATACATTCAAAAACTCATTGAGAAGATTCAGAAAATAATCTTGTATTTATATACTTTCTTTTAAATAGAAAGATGAACCAGGGGTCTCAATAGACTGGACCGGGTTAATTCGATATTATGATAGGTCGAATCTTGAATAAAATGTGAAATTTTCGAAAAATGTTTCCATTAAAGTTTGTTTTTTTTCGAAAGTCCTCATATAATTATTCCATTGGTTAAAACGTTTCTACAATGAAAAGCAAATAATTATATGTGATAGGTAAGTTTGCTTAATAACAGAGAAATATTGTTTTTTTTTAAGGCATTTATCCAGACAAGCAGGGAGGTTGATACGGCTGGTTTTTAAAAAAGAAATGTGAATTGCACTGCATGTGTGTTTTATAATTATGATACTAGAGTATACTAAAAGATTGTATACACTATTGAAATGGAAAGTTGAATTTGTAGTCTAAATACTACAATCGATGGTATATGATGTATACTCATTCTTGGTTAATTTTGGATCGGATTTTGTTATAATACAGTAAAAGAAAAAAATCTCCGGAAAACATTAAAGTTTTTTATGGTGTGTAATATAACTTTATTTTGCAAATTCTTGTCTGAATTAATTAGTTTATCTTGTTTATAAAGCTTTATTCTTATTATAATTTTGTTTTTAAATTCAAAACTTAATCGAATTCTCATGTCAATGCTGACCAATATAAAGTAAAACAAAGAAAAAGATAAAATTCTTGTCCTCTTAAAAGAAATTTCTTTATATTCAACAAAATATTCTTGCCTATCTCTTCTCATCTATCAATAATTTTCCTAATTCTAATTCTATTCCTATTGAACTTCTTCAATCATCAATTTTTTTTTTATTAACACTTTTTTTCAACTATCAATGCTGGTTCATCATTACATACAAAACAGTATATATCCGAATGGATGAAATTTCTTTTGAAACAACAACCATCAACATATACTGTTATAAAAAATGAAAAAAATCCAATATAATTAGATGAATGACCTATGGATCGGCTTTCTTCGATCAAGCTCATTGAGATTTACGATGTGAACATTTTTCATATTGAAAAGTTTCATCGAGATTTTCTTTTTTTATTAATTGAATAATTTTTTGCATCGCTATGAATTTCAAAATGTACAAGAAATAATCTTATATGTTGATTGCTTTCATCGAAAGTAAAAAAATAGCTTTTTATAAAAACATAAATTGAAAATTTGATAAAAGCTTCGTGTGATGAACATCTTGTTTAGATTTAAAGAAAAATTTTTGTATTCTACAAAATTATAGTGAAATATCATGCACTTCAATAATTACAATGATATCAGTCTGATTGCTCAATATAGATCAGATTATTTTATGATCAAAAGTTCTTTTCATACTAAAATATCTCAAATAATAAATTCAACTTTACACTATCATTTCAAATACATATGTATGTATTCTTCTCAGCTTTGATATGATATTCAGTATGATTTATTAGGAAGGACTTAATTCATTAGTATTCAGTCAATTTTCACTCTTTCTTATTTCTTAATTTATACGTTTTATTAACATTAATAGTATAATAAAACTTTGGATCAGTTAGTGACGTTTCTAAAAACGAAGTTGTTATTCTCAGATTTTATACTGAAATATAATTTCTTTTCTATTTAAATTTTCTTTTTCTGTCCAAAGGTGTTATACTGTTTAACATATGGTAGTGAAACGGAGAAAGAAGACAAATAGTCTATCTTTCTTATCAGTGTCAATGTTTTGCCACAACCCACTACCATACTTTAAATATCAAAACATATTTAAAATTAGAAAGAAATTGTTTTGCGTTTCAATATTAACGAGCGAACCATCTGAACTAATATCCGCTGTTTGAACTCATGTTAGGTCTACAAGGACGTCTTGGTAAGACTAGCAGAAATCTAAAAGTGTTTGTTTCCATACGTCCACTAATAGTATTTCGACATGAAGTTTTATTATTGCCAATAATTTTATGGATGACTATTTGTTATGATTTTTCTAAAACTCGAAAATCTTGCATCAATTATAATAGATATTAGTAGACATTTCAATGGGTTGTTGTCTTACGTTCCTTATAATTATTATAGTATTCAAATGTTCACTTACATTTCAAATTCAAACAAAGAATTTTTCTAATAATGTTACTCTCTCAGTTTTGCTCATATATAGTTTTGAGGGCTATGATGACCTATTAAACATCAATCCCAATGCCATTTTTTTTAGTTGAGAATTTATAGTTTTTATCGTTGGTTTTGGTCATTATTGGATCATATGTATTTTGATTAAAGAAATGATGTAATCAATATGTAGTCGGTATACTGTTCATTAAATATAGATTACAAATATGCATGAAAAAAAAATTGTTAAATTTTACATTATTCTTTTTAGATAAAAGAATAAAAATAATCTGACAACCCTCTATGTTATTGTATATTTGATTCTCATATTTCAAATGAAACATATGTGACAGGAAGTTTATCTTTCCTGTTTAGTAATTTCACAATACAATGCAACATCTATTTTGAATGGATATTAGTTTTTTTTACTGAATTTCACATAAAAACAGAAAGAAAAAAATGACGCTAAAATATCTTTAACATGTAACTGATGAAACGTGTTCTATATACAACATGACGCTGGATGAATCATTGTTTTTATGAAGACATATATATATATATATATATATATGTATGTCAATAACGTTTTAAGTCTCAGTCAAAACCATTTATACTACAATTTGTGATATATTGACAAAATATGGCATACGCATATACAAATCAACAAAATGTTGCTTCTAACGGCGATATGGCTGACGCATATGAACTTGGATCGGCCATGGCTCGTGAACAATTATCAGCTGAAGATAAAAAACTTCTTGATCAAATGCAACATGATACAGTAATTGTTGTACCTGGCACATATGATCATATACATCAAGTATTGACAAGTTTAAAAATTCCATTTAAAACTGTACAACAAGATGAATTATTAACTTATCCATTGCGTCCAAAAGATCAAACAGTTTATGTTAATTGTGCTACTTCATTTCCGCCTAATGCTGCTCATCGTTTACGTAAATTTGTTGAGGATGGTGGTCAATTAATTACGACAGATTGGGCTTTAAAAAATGTTCTTGAAGTTGCATTTGGTGAAGTAAGTTAATTATTTACCTTTACATATATACTATATATTTTTTTGTTACTTCCTACATCATAGTTTGTTCGACATAATGGTCAAACGACTGGTGATGAAGTTATTGGAGTACAAGTCAATGATCCAACAAATCCAATTGTAGCTGGATTTTTACCAGCTGCAAAACATGTTGATCCACAATGGTGGCTTGAATCATCATCATATCCAATTGAAATAATTGATCAACAACGTGTACGTGTTTTAATTAAATCAAATCAATTAAATCAAAAATATAATTCATATGCTGTACTTATTACGTTTGATTGTGGTAAAGGCAATGTTATACATATGATATCACATTTTTATTTGCAACGTTCAGAAACACGTGATGCAAGACATAAAATGTCATCAGAACAATTTGCTGTTGATATGAATGCATCCGAAGGAATTCAATTAAAAGCAAAACAAATGACAAATTTAAATTATGCACAAGTACAATCATCAGTAACATCATCAGCATTTATTTATAATCAATTAGCTGACAGACTTAAGAAGATATAAAACAAAAATTGAAATTTATTTTTTTATTTTTTATTTTTTTGAAACATTGTAGTTTTTTCTTTCTATTAATTAATAAATATTATAACAGAGAAGATAATTTGTTTTATGAAGAAAAAAAAATGCATAAATCAATCTGTTGCATTACAAATCTATTTACCTTGCTCTTGCTCCTTGGTTATACCCACACAAGTTTATATATACACACACACACACAGACTAGATAGGGATTAACTAACTTTGTATGTCATTCACTGTTGGTGATTGAATTGTGTACATGAAGAATGAAAAAGAAAAGGAAATGTCTAAAATATAAAGTTCGTTTTTGATTTATATATTCATTTGACAATTGCAAAGGAAAATCCTTGACAAAATTTTTTGTGTGGCAATACAGGTAAGAATAATGTAATTCATATAGATATTGATCTGAATATATTTATTTACAGTTTAAATTCGTATTATTTTATTGATTTTTTTTAATCGAAAGAATGAATTACATACAACCGACTTCATTTCATGTGCCAGTGCATAAATCTATTGATGATCCTTGGATTGGATTACTTGTCTTATGTATTGTTATTTTCGTTTCATCGATTATTTCTATTATTATTTTATGTCTGCAATGGCGTCGTTATCAACAAAGTAAACAAATTAATAATGAAAATTATATTCTAAGTAATAAATCAACAACTGGTAAAAGACAAATACCGGTACAAATTGAAGATCAACAACCAAAACCTTATGAAACACAAGTATATTTCTTCAAATCAAATCAAATCAAATGTTTTCAATATGTGCTTGTTTTTCTTTAATAGAGAATGGAAGTATTTGTTCCACCAAATGGTGAAGAAAGAATTCATGCACGTTTTCCACCTCATGATGGTATTCCACAAGTTCATAAATTTTATGAAAGGTTTGTCTATAATACATATATCTATATAATATTGTGTTTTTGTTTTTATTTGTATTCTAGATCAACAAAAGCTTACTTCTAATAATACAAACATTTATTAACATATCAACTTTTGAATAGTTTGACATATAAAAGAAAAAATTTATAGAAAGAAAATATTAAATAAAATTGCTTAATAATATTTTTCAATGAATTGAATTCCGTAAAGATAAAAGATCATCTTTGATTATTTTTGAATCATTTATTATTTTAATAATCAGTTGTGTAAGATCTTTTTTTTTGATTGTATTGTAGTTGCTAACTATTCAAAACCTTCATGAATACTTTCACCTACAATAGCTATTGAAGGTTGTAAATACCATTTTGATTTCATTTCATCTAATTTTGATAAGTTTAGTTTTTCTTTGATTTCATCAAATGTTAAAGCATTTGGTAAATCTTGTTTATTAGCAAATATGAGAATAGATAAATTTTTTAATAATTCTTTATTTGCCATCTCATGTAATTCGTCACATGCTTCGTCGATTCTATTACGACCATTTGAATCGACAACAAAAATAACTGCTGACGTCTTTGCACAGTAACAACATCATGACGGTCGAATTTTATCATGTCCACCAATATGTTTAAATTATTGTAATTACATTTTTATATATTACTGTTTCAGCATTAAAGCTGATTGTTAGTATTGTTGTTCTGTATTCATCGAGTTTGATATATTAAGTATAGTTGTCTTTCCAGCTGCATAAAGGCCACACATGAGTATGCATACTTCCTCTTGTTTAAAAGAATAGGATGAAAATTTTTGTATTGATGAGCTTCTATTGTATATTAAATATTATATATAATTTTTTACTTTATTATGTTTTGGTATTATCAGTGAACTAAAGAAAAAGTTTGCTTATATATATATATATATATATAATGTTTTCTTTTTCAACACTCCATAATACGTCATCAAACAATACATTCTATTTTCTTTATTTGTGGTACTATGCTGTCATGATATACGTGGCAAATGTTGTACAGTCGTAATGTAATATTGTATATATTTATTAATTTTGAAATTTTTTTGACATTGATTAGTTTATACAGAATGATGACAAAGATAGGATTATCCTCATTTATGATAATATCACTCACACCTACACCTTGACGAGTTATGCTCACTAATATCCATTTTGTACGAATCCTAGAAAAAATATATCGTCAGCAAAGACCATAAAGTGATCCCTACCCCTCATAATACCTAAAATCTGTCTTATGCACCACGTCAGTACCCTGACTTGTCTTCGCTAATACCCACAGAAAGACGCAATAATTTCCAAGTAAAAATCCGTTTTAAAAGATTTTAAAATAAAAAATAAACTGCATAGAAACATTCATTAATGCTTAAAAACATTAACTTTACTAGTCGATAACATTCACTGTGTATTCATTAACACTTGCATACAGATGCAGTTCATTGATGAACAAAACATGTAAGATATGTTGTTATGAATTTTACTTCAAAAATATCTTAACAGTGAAAATACGAGCATTTTCTCCTTAAGTATAGCATCACAGTTATCATTAAAAATGGTACGTCCTTCCTCTGTTCAACGAACTCCGATATATTTATGCCTTCTTCACTCTGGAACCTATGAAATAAAAAATGATAAAAATTGGATGATTTTGATGAATTTTATATCAAAAACACGAAAAAACTGACGTTTCATCATTTGAATAGAATATTTTTTTGATTTTTTAGATTCCCGAGAAGACCAATACTATTACGACGCTTTACAGCAAAACAAATTTTTTTCATAAAACTTTAAAAATTTGCCATTCTAGAGTCAAAATTCTAAAAAGCTTCAAAAGCAGATAAATTTTTCTGATTGACAATGCTTGTATTTTCACTTGTAAGATGTTTTTGAAGTAAAATCACAAGAACATATCTCGAATTATTTGTCAATAAATGAATTACGTCTGTGTATAAATGTTAGTGAATATATAGTGAATGTTATCGGCCGATGAAGTTAATGTTTTCAAGCATTAATAAATATTTCTATGCAGTTTTTTATTATTTTAAAAAATTTTAAATTGGATTTTTACTTTGAAACTTCTTTTGCATTTTGATTAGAAAAATACATCGATTTCTCTGTACACAATATTGATGACTTCTTTGTGTATGTGACGTGTTGAATTCATTTTGGCAGCTGAGCTCATTATCTATCGTTTTGTTGACTTGTTGATCGTGCCGCAATACTTATTTCTCATTGGAAAGGGTATTAAATCTTTAGAACTTATATATCTAGAGGACGGACAATTAAGGCGTAACAGATGAGCATCGAGAAATAAAATATTAGGCAAAGTTGTCGAAACATATTGACGTAATGAACAGAGAACTTAGTATATTGCTTCGATAATTGGTGATGACTGCTAAGAACTCTTCATTTCAATACTGTAAATTATTCCAGTTGAGGTAACAATGATAATAGTAAGCAATGGCATGCGGTAAAAGTGTATGGTTTTTCCACTAGTAAAGCAAAGCTGTAATGTTATATATAAAAAAAATGCTCTGTTTTATGATGTCGGAAATTTTTTACTCAATTTTTGCTTAGTCACAACACAAATACATGTATATGAAATAACTGTATTAATGCCAGAAAGATAGAGCTTGCTTCACTCTATTCTGGAATGTATTTAGTTTTGAATAAAGCATTAGCAATGAGATAGAGAGAATAAATGCAAATATCGGTCATGCATTATACATCATCAGTTACTTACACATTGTTAGGCATATTAATAAATCTATTGTTTTTTTTCTTATCATTCTATACTGAAATGATTAGTAGATATAAAATTTAATACCTTTTATTGTGATTTTTAAGAAAAAAAAGATTACTTTGTCTTTACACAACGATGCATACAGAAAAAGTAAGCTTAGAAAAAAAATAATTACAAAAGTTAACATCATCGCATTACGTTGATTAAACTGATCTGTCATCAAAATAAGAATCTTGTTTGAAGATCTTCTTTTCCGTTGGATATCTTAGATAACCTAACCGGTAAAAAAAGTTAATAGTACTGTGGTCAAAACGTCACCACATTACGCTCGGACAAGTCAATATATATATATATGCATTGTATTTGTTTTTATTTGTATCTTAGAACAACAAAAGATTACTTTTAATAAATCAATATATAGAATAGTTTGACATATAAAAGAAAAAATTTATAGATAAAAAAATATTAAATATATTTATTTAATAATTTGTTAAAATTAATTGAATTCCATAAAGATAAAAGATCATCTTTGATTGTTTTCGAATCATTTATTGTTTCCATAATTGGTTGTGTAAGATCTTTTTTTTTGATTGTATTGTAGTTGCTAACTATTCAAAACCTTCATGAATACTTTCACCTACAATAGCTATTGAAGGTTGTAAATACCATTTTGATTTCATTTCATCTAATTTTGATAAGTTTAGTTTTTCTTTGATTTCATCAAATGTTAAAGCATTTGGTAAATCTTGTTTATTAGCAAATATGAGAATAGATAAATTTTTTAATAATTCTTCATTTGCCATCTCATGTAATTCGTTACATGCTTCGTCGATTCTATCACGATCATTTGAATCGACAACAAAAACAACTGCTGATACCTTTTCATAATAATGAAGTCATAACGGTCGAAGTTTATTGCGTCCACCAACATCCCAAGCTGTGATATTTATATTTTTATATATTACTGTTTCAATATTGAGACCAATTGTTGATATTGTTGTTATGACTTCGGCAAGTTTTGATATATAAAGCATAGTTCTTTTTCCAGCAGTATCAAGACCAAACATGAGTATACATACCTCATTGTGCTGAGAAAAATAAGATGACAGTTTTTTCAATGATAAACCATATTGTATATAAAATATTATGTGTAATCTTTTGTTTTGATGTTGTCGATCAACTGAAGAAAAAAATTTTGCTTATATATATATATATGAACAACACGATTTTTTGTTCTTTACACTTCAAAATACCCTATTAACCAACGTGTTCTCCTTTTTTTTATTTGTTGTGCCATCCTGTCATGGTATACGTGGCAAAAATTGCACAATTGTAATGCAATATTGTATATATTCATTGGTTCTAAAATTTTATTTTTTGGCATTGATTCAATTGTACAAAATGATGACAAAAATGCTAGGTACTCTCGATTATAATAAACTTTGAATATAAGCAGAAGAGTATCTTCGTCATCGTTAAAAGTCTAAATTTGATTAATTTTTCTGTCAAATATTATCAATATTTTCCTTAATGATTTAGTGTTAATACAAGTTTCGTTATTTTTCATATTTCTATATCTGTAAAGGCATAAATCTATGCTTGTCAAAAAAAAATCATTAATGTAACAATGTTAATTTGAATTATGAATACCGAAGCTTTCTAGTTGATATTAACACAAAAAACTGATGCACATATGTTGCACATTGTTTTATGATAGTCGTTTAGCAAGTTGAACTACTGCCAAGTAAGAAAAGCAGACTTGCAGAGGAGAGAGAGAGAGAGGAAAAATTAGAAAAGCGAGAAAATAAAAGCGAAATCGATCTTTTAAACAACACGGGAAACAGCTTAGACGCTTTATTGCACTCTTTCTTCTATTACTTGCTCGCGACCAAGGCAATGTTAAAGGCGCGGAGGCGGCTGTAGCAGTATGCAAGAATAGAAGAAGAAGACTAGGAGAGAAAACAGCGAAAAAAGCGTTTTTTATTGATGAACAAAGGAAACTTCATCTTTTGCCTCTCCTTCAAAATGACTCTCTCTCAACACTCTGCTCTGCTCTGTCATGCGCTATTCTTTTTTTTTGTTTGTTACAATTTGCGACCGTTCATAGCAGAACAAGGGAATGAGAAAAAAGGGAAAAATGAAAAGGAAAAAAGAGTGAGAGAGAGAGAGAAAGTAGAAAAAAAGCAAGTAAAATAGAATGAGAAGCAAAAAAAAGAATTCTTTTCCATTGCTCTTCTCATCGTAGTCATTACTATATAGTTCTATTGCTTGCATTAGATTTAGATAAGTGAAACATGTGTTTGAGAGGATGAATACTGAAGTTGAGAGAGAAGATAATGCTAACAACAGCAGTAGTAGATGTAGTATTAACAGCAGTAGTACCGAGTGAAGAAAAAAAAGCAATTGCAATCTTAATGAAATACTCTTCTTCTTTTTCTCCTTCGTCTTCTTTTTTTATGATTGTCGTTGTTGTCCGAGTTGCTTCACATATACATAGTCATCATCCCAAACTAATAATGATTTACAGAAGGGTGAATAAAAATAGGGAAAATTCTCACGTAATATTAGACAATCGCAAACACTCAAAGTGAGTAAGATAGACATGCTGTACATGTATACAAAGAGATGTTTTGTACTGAATCATTCTTATTATTATCTTGTCGTCTTATTTAATATGATGTCAACGAATGAATATTGCATATGTCTAACTGTTAATATTATTCTCAAACGATCGTCTCAATATATGTATATATATAGATATATATTTCTTTTTCTTCTTGTCTTTCTCTTGCCATAATATTATTAGATCTGTACAAGATTTCTCTTGATGATGTTTTTTTTTTTTTTTTGTATTTTCTGTTGCTATCAACATCCCTAATATACATACAGTTTTTCCGTCTATCAACATCTATTAAAGTGCATGTCAAGCACGACGAGATGCTATCAGGCATCATCGTTTGACATTAATCGTCCTGTTATTTGCCATTTCTAGTCATCATCTTGCATACGCATAACTAAAAATTTTTCATCTATATATTTTACGGATTAGTTGTTGGTTGAAATGATGATAGACGTTTACCGGTCTTCCTGTCATTCATGGTTTTCTTCTTCTTGTTCTTCATTGTTTTTTAGATATTTTCTTTTGAAAATTATATTTTTTTTCTTTCTTTGACATATATATGTTCATCCTGTGCTATTGTTATTCAGTTTTCTTTTAGAATTGTGATAATCATGAAGATGTAATGATGTTCTTCCGTTTTTTATTCACATTTTTTGCTTGCTATTCTATGCATGTAAACTTTTTAAATTGACATAGTGCTTTTCCACACGTTTTTTTTTCCTTTATCTTCTATATTAAGCATCAATTGATAAGATAAAGAATCTGTGTTTTCCACCTGATTATATGGAAAGCAGTTTTCTTCCTTTTCAAAATTTCTTTTCTATTTCTTCGTTGAGTTCTTCCTTTGGCGTTGTGCATCTTTCAATGACATAAATGTTTCCTCTTTTCCTTCTCGTTATTATAGATGTGTATGTTAGAATATACTAACGGAAAAGACTAAAGCAAACTTCTCCAGTTACAGTATACGCGTCAACGATTTAATCTCTTTTATTTTCGTTGTTCTGTTTTTTGCCGCTTCTTTTCTCCACTATTTTCCTTGCTCTTCTCTTCGTATTTTTCATGATCAATTCTACTTCGTTAGATTGAACACGCAGACACGAGAGTCTGTGTCTTCTAGCAAAGATTATAATTAGATTGTCAAGGTAAAGTTACAGCAAACAGAGAAATAATATATGTAAGCGTATATCTTTTTTCTTTACTAAGTAAAATAACGTCGAACTATTCACTTTTTTTTATTACTATTCATTTAAAGATAGAACTCAAGAAAACTATACACTTGATATGAATAACAAAAATAGAAAAAAAGATTATTGATTTGAACCTGTCTTCGTTTGACAATTTATCTTTGTATGTCTTTTTCTCTATCTTTCTTATGTGAATATGTAACAAAGAATAATGATCGGATTCCTATCCACAAGGCGACCATATGTTAGATTGTTTTTTAATTTGACTGTCATCGTAAATAAGTGTGTACATCGAGGCTCACAATAATACACCGGTAATAGGCAAGAAAAAAAACCTGAAGAATAAATTCAATTAAGTCGTGCTATTTCTATATTTGTAACGACCATTTGTTACGACATTTAGCCTTAAGAGAAGATAATATCAAAGAAACATATTTTTCGAAATGAAGATTTGTCTTATCTAATTGTCAATACGGTTTTTTTTATCTTCTTTTCCATTTAGGAATCAACATTCTTTGATTTTATCTTCTTTATGCTTGCTTTCTTAGTTATCTCTCTAATGCTGTTGACATTTGTTTTAAATACGTGACATAAATGAGTTGAAAAAGATTGGAAAATATTTTCTAATATTTTTATTTTTAATCAATTTCTTCGAGTTTTTCTTTTTCTCACAATCAATCAAGTGCATATACGTCAAGAAATCAAATACCATGAAAAACATGTAAGAATAATATATATTTATTTATTTTTATATTTAGTTTGTATCGGTATACTTTTTTTTCATTACAACTCATAGAAGAAAGACAACGCATTTTCTTTTTCTTTTTATATGAAAATGCATACATCTTCTAGCAATACTCATCTTTTTTTTCTTTCCTTCTTCAGTTGCCATATCACTCGATCATCTTCATTCATGCTGGCGAGGGCTCGGCGACATAAAAATTTGTTCTGGCAAAACACTCGTATGCACACGACTTGATCGCATTCCCAACGCAATTTACTTGTCTCACATATAGCTGATTTGTCTATCTTTCCATCTTGCTTTATTCCTCTTGACTTCCTCTTCATTTCTACGAGCAACATACACCCGATCGCTACATCAATCACTTCTTTTTCTTCTTCGTTTTTTTTTTACAAGCAACTTCTAGGCTGATGATGTAGTTCTTATTTATATATATATATATGCATACTTATATGTACTTGAATTTGACATTAATGAAAGAAACTTATTTTTAGATTGTGCTGTTGCTGTTGACCGGTGCTTTGCATGTCAGGCCACACGTCAGTTATATGTATGAAGATATAAACTCGTTCTTGCTACGTCTAGATCTGACGGTTCAAATTATAAACAAGAGCATCATCGTCATCATCATCGATGTTCTTTTTGTTCAAACAAATTTTGGAACCTTCTTGACAGTTGTCGATATATATCGTATGGCCGATGCTGATAATCGGGTTATTCTAAATGTGGGTGGTATTCGTCATGAGACATGTATGTATTTATTGATTGATCGTGTTTTTTCTAATTTAGTAAATTTGTTTTTCCTGTTATTTTTTTTTTTTCTAAAGACAAAGCAACATTAAAGAAAATACCAGCTACACGTCTTTCCCGTCTTACTGAAGCTCTATCAAATTATGATTCTGTCCTTAATGAATTTTATTTCGATCGACATCCAGGTGTATTTGCACAAATATTAAATTATTACCGTACAGGTAAATTACATTATCCAACTGATGTTTGTGGTCCATTATTCGAAACTGAACTTGAATATTGGGGCCTTGATGCTAATCAAGTTGAACCTTGTTGTTGGATGACATATACAACTCATCGGTATATAATTAAGAATTATATATATATAGATATTGTTTTATTTTATTTTATTATTTTAGAGATACACAAGATGTCCTTGTTGGTCTTGATCGTTTAGATCTCGATGATGAACCCATAACAGAGGAAGAAATTCCACATAAATTTGGTTGGGATTTTGATCCAACAATTCGTCATAAAAATATGAGTGTACAAGAATATATGAAAACATTACCATGGTTTAAACGTGTACAACCACGTATATGGCAATTATTTGAAGAACCTTATTCTAGTAGTGCAGCTAAAGTATGAGTTTTATTTTTTATTTTTTATTTTTTTGTTCTTTTGTATTATTCTAAATTAGTAATTTTTATATTAGGCAATACAAGTTGTTTCAATCTTTTTTATACTTGTTTCAATTATATCATTTTGTTTAAAAACTCATCCAACGATGCG